GGAGCTATACAGGAGGTATAGCAGAGCCTCTCTTGAACGATCTCCTGAATCGCACGGCAGTATAACCAGAAAGCTGGGCTCTGCGCAGATCGCCCACGGTTGAAAGTCGTATGCACCTGGCCCAGAACGAACGTTGGGTGTCTTAGAGTCTAAATAATCCTCGGGCGATTGGGCAATCTTGGAATCTTGAAAAGAGAGTTGAGCCCCCCTCGGGCTCACCCGTCTACGCTGAATCACGGCGCGAAACGCGGGGCGCGGGGCGCACGTGGCGCGCCTTGGCGCCTTCTCTGACGGCGACCTGTATCCCATGCGTCACCCCACTCTCTGTCGATCTCTATCAATAATCTACATATCTATAAGCCCCTCCATCCCCCTCACTGCCCGGTTCGCCAGCGGCGTTGCGCACGTACCAAAGTCAATGCACGCAAAGACCCGTACCTACACAGTAAATCCGGGGTGTCCAGCAGGTAGGCGACAAAGTCGCCTGACCCGCAAAACTAGGCGACTTATGTCGCCTACCTGCTGGACACCCCGGATTTACAGTGTACCCACAGCAGCGCCGAACCGTACGGCCGCGTCGCGCCACCGGACATGAGACAGTTGGTCATGGTCACCTGGGCCCCGTGCCCGGACCCGGGCCCCCGGGGGTCGGGCTCGGGGGTTGGAGCGCGCCGCCGCGGGGCACAACCACGTAACGCACGCGATACACTTCGGCAGCGCGCCTCTGCTGCGCCCGGGCCACGACCCCGCTCATCTCCCATACGTCACTCTCTCTTTCTCCTCCCCCTTCACTCTCACTCTTCGCGTACATCCCCCGCCCTGGGGCTGGCGGGTGCGCGTCCGTCACGTAGCGAGGGAGGAGGTCCACCCCCCGCGCGCGCCCTGGTCTGGTCCCTCCCCCGGGGGTCATGCCCGGGTCAAGCGACGCGCTACCGAGAAGAGCCGCGTACCGAGACACGTATTAGAGTAACGACCGCGCGGGCCGCGAGGCGGACTGGCCGGGGCACGGCGGGCCGGGGCACCTCCCTATAGCTATCACCAGCTAGAAGCAAGGCATCTTGTGGGGGAATGCGCCCGCCAGGCCGACCAGGGGAGCAGGTCGTGATGCCATTGCTACTTGATGTGGGTTAAACGCACTCCGGACGGGCGCGCGGGCCGGGCGGACCTTGTGGCCATTAGCTGTCGCTGCTACTGCCGGTGGCCATAAGAAGCAGAGAAAAAGAGAGAGAGAAAAAGTAATGTCTGAATGAAGGTGAGAAGCGGCCATATAGCCGGCTGCTGATAACATTCCTTCGTGCCTTGATGGGGTGGCCGAGGGTCGGGCCGTCGGGCCGCCGGGCAGCGCCGGCCGCGCCGGCTGCACCGGGCGCCATCTCGACCTCCGGCACGCCCCGCGCGCCGGCAGCCCCGCGCCGGCCGGCCTCGCGTGACCGCAGACCCGGGCCTGCAGCTTAGCGTCCAATTGTTGTAAGACGCGCTGCTGCACCACCACCACCACCACTATAGGCCAGCAGGATTTTAAATCTTCCCGCGATTGCGGCAATACTGGGCGACCGGGCGCGGACAGCATAGCGGGATTTGTCTCGCCCTCCGGCGGCCCGCGCGGCACCGACCGCAGCAAAGCCTATCAGTAGTCTCCTTGCGCGTTAGCAATCGATCACTCGACTGGCTCGAGCGGGGCGCGGCAGCCGTGGCGGGCAGCGGGATCGGGTCCACGGCACCGTCACGGTGATCCCCTGGTCTGGGTGCTGCACAGATTGTAGGCGGGCGGGCCGGGCCGGGTGGGGCGGCGCGGTCTGTTTTGCTTACTGCCCGGGCCGGGCTGGGCCGGGGCGCCGCGCCGCCCCTTCGCTGGCGCGGCTCTTTAGCGCTGCCCGCTGTGTGATGGGCACGGTGGTGGCGGTGCGTTCCGATGGAGTGTTTGCTTTCACTGGGCGGCCGTGGCTCGGCGTGGTGCAGCAGCGCGCCGCACATAACGGCCACCACCACCACCACCACCACCACCACCACCACCACGCGGGCCCCGCTGCGCTCGCCCCGCGCGCCCCGCGCCGCGCAGATGGGCTTGCAACACCTTCGGTGCGTAGGGGTGGGGCGGGGTGGGTGCACATGTCGCAAGGAAGCCCTCCCCGCCCGGCGCGCAGCACCCCAATGACGCGAAGGGTTGAAAAAGGGGGTGGCGCAAATAGTGGTGGAGGCGTGAATCTCACCGCCACTGATATGAGTTCTAACAGAAACATGACAAACGGTTTTTGTTGTTTGTTGTTGGTTTTTTTTTGGGGGGGGGGGCAAAAATTGTCCGAAAGAGAGACAGACCGGTAAAAATCGAACAACGGGCGTTTGTTCATAGTTCCTATAGTGTATTTCGACTAACATAGGAAGAAGAATAGTGGGTAGAACATAAACGTTACCGATTGGTCGAGAGCTTCCCGCCTCTACGTCACGCCGTTAGTGGGGGTAGGCGCTCGGCCAATCAGGAACATTTATATTCTACCCGGTATTCTTCTTCCCCTGTTAGTCGAAATACACTATATGGCCGGTCGTTCGTCCAGTGTCTTTTCTTCAAAGTTGAGCCCCTCATTCTCTCCTGTCGCTACTGTGCGAGTTTAATTGCCCCAACCAGGCGTGGCGGTCGCCCAGGGGAAAAGTAAAGGTGGGAGCAGGGGCACACACACACATCTAGTAATGATTGATTTCCAGTACATACCCAACGTTCAATTAGGGACAAGCCCGGGGCTGGAGGTCATGTCTGTTCCATCAGGTTCCATCAGCCACGTCGTCCGTCGTCTCCACAGCAGCGGGGTCCTCCCAACTCATTGCAGAACCAGCAGAACCCTGCAAATGAAAAATACAAAAATGTAGTTTTTATGGTTGTTTTTTTAATTAGGGCCATAGTGTGGAGGGCCATGACCATCTACAATCCAGTAAGTCCACAATACACGCCTGTGTCTCTAAACACATGCTCGATCAATTTGATTAACCTGTGTGGTTCCGGTGGAACTTATCAACTTATTAGACTAAGTTGGCTGAACGCGGCGTTGAGCACGAACTCGACTCGACTGTTGGCGAGCGACGGCGACGGCGGCAGGCTGGCCGCGACACCCTCGACTGCCCGCCCCTCCTGTCTATCCTAACCTCCTCCGACACCCACCCTGTGCACTGTGCAGTACGCTCTGCCTATGGACGCTGCTAATAATGTAAAGGCAGCCAGCCCGGCGAGATTGGGGCCACGCCGCCGCACTCGTAAAACCGCATCAAAGAAACACGGCTCGTCGTTCTTGACCGTTCGGAAAACTTTTCTTATCTCACCCGCGGACAAAGTCAGTGTGTGGGCTACGTCAGTCCTTTTAGTGCGGCACCGGTCAACATTGACTCCGCGGTTATTAGAGAGTAAAGTATAAAGGGTGGTTGAGTGCGGCACCTATACTGCCGCCATGTCGGGCGAAGGTGAATGACGGGGTGATGGTGATGAGGGTCCGCGCCGCGGTGGCCGCGGTAGCAGCGCACCTGCAGCTTCTGCAGCTGCTGAAGGTGTGGCAGGCAGGGGGGCTGCAGCTGCAGCCGCCGTGCCCACTGACCCCGGGCGGACATAGCAAGTGACACTGGCGGTCGAGAAGTCGCAAATCGAGGACAAAAGTCAGTGTTTCCTCCCATCGTGGTGCCCCGCGCCTCCGCCCGCCCGCGCGCGTGAACTGCGAGACGCACTCACCACACTCCGGCCCAGAAAAGCGTTGACGAACAACACGGCCAGGGTCAGGACCGCGGCTGCCACCGCACCCCTGCGCGCCCTCCCAGGTAGGCGCATCTCTTCCTAGCAAGCTCGCAGTCCGGAAGGCGAAGGATGGCCAAAATAATGAAAATTGTGAGCACAGTTGAACAACATAACCTCCTCCCTCCCTTCGGTAAAATACGGTTGTGGGTGATTCACCACACGTTTTCAGAAGACTGTCCTTTTTAAAACGTTAGAAGTAAAGAAACGCACACATCCCTCCACAGAGCGTGCCCAGCAAAAAACAATAAAACCGTTTCCTCGTATCAATCACAGCCAAAAATAACTGGACTTGGACTTTATTTTATTTTGTTTTTGTTTTTTGCTAACATTTACGAAGACAATAAAGCATTCCGGTAAAGCTGAAATGCAGAAGAATGCGGGGAAGAAGAATACGGAAATCGCTATGCTTTAACATGGTGACTTCCGTTTTCTTCTTCCCCGTATTCTTCTGCGTTTCAGCTTTACCGGAATGCTTTATTTGATTAGCACTTCGGTAAACACTTGCGTACGCACCCTGACGCACCCGACCTAAACCTTGATCCTTCCTTCTTCCCCGGAGTCACCACCACCATGCCACCACCATCTCCTCTCCTCCGTCCTTTGCGGCCGCGGTGCTGTGCCGTGCCGTGCGCGTGTCCTCTAGCCGCCCACAAGTCCACCTCCGGCTCGCCGCCATCCTCCCTCTTGTTTTCCTACCGGTGAGGTGAGTGTGATGCGGTTTTAGGCTCGTTTTGGGGGATTTGCCAGTCGGAAGTAGGGTGGGGGTAATCGCACCAAGGGGCATGGGGGAGGGGTTTGTTGCGATAAAAGCAATATTTGTAATGAAACAGCGCTGGATTAGGGGGGCGGGGCGGGGTTAATACTTCATAAGTGACCCGCGATCCGACCATGACCCAACGCTAAACGTGCGATATCGCGCCTCCATCACACCCCCCGAGTTAGCCCGAGTGACCTCCGTGATTCTGGGCATTCCGCGAGCAAGTCACGAGTCACGGTGATAGACATTCGTCTGTCGCGAAGTGTTCGCGATGATAGGACCAGCCAACTAGTTCTGGAATCCGTGTATTTTGCCTGATAAATGGCATCGACCGGAGGACTGAGGAGATGCACGTTGGGTTGCCTGCATCGACGGCGGCCCTCTGGCCGACCGCACTGTTCTGCCTTGTGCTATAATCTACCAACAGTGAATTTCTCATACCCCTCACCCAACTTCCCCCGTACCTCCCGTGTGCCACATCGCGGAATGCGGCTGGTGCAGAGGACTGCACGAGTGTTTTGAAATCACACGTGTGTTGGGGTACTTTTAAAAATATTTATGTTTGTGTTCAAATCTAGTCTCGTGCAAAAGAGGGGAGGGTCTTTCGAAACCTCGCCTTGGTCCAGAATCACCTAAAATAGTTCGTTACGTGTTCTGAGGCTAAGTTCTTCAAATTCCATGGGGACCTTAACCTTCCCATGTGTGAACAGGCAACTCCAAATTTGAAGAAGTAATAGTTATCCCGCGTACCTGTGCCAAAGGAAAAAGAGGAAAACTACACACTGCCATGGATATTTTCAAACGAAGACAAGATTCGTCAAGCGATGACTCTGACGACGAGATCCCACCAACACCCGCTGCAAAGTCCACTCCTCTGGTCCCTTCAAACCGTCTGAGGAAACAGTCGTCTTCCTCTGACAGCTCTTCAAACGGAGGCCAAATTCAGACGCCTAGATTCCCTGTTCAAATTCGAAGAACAGCGGAAAGTGACAGCTCCTCAGATGAAGACAATGACCATCGGAACCTTCCACGCCATCCTCAAATAAACATGAAACAAGAACCTAGTGATTCCAGCAGCCAAGAAGAGGATAGCCATCATAGAACTGTTTCCCAGGGTCAAATTGCTAATCGGTTGAATTCTAGTCGACAAGCTCATACTATGTCTAGTTCTGATGAATCCGATGCCAACACAACTGCAGTTAATAAGCAACCTGTTAGGACTAATGAAAGTAGCAGTGAAAGTGATGATGAACCAACACGCCCCTCAGTCCCAGCTGTTGTTCTTAAATCAGAGAGGCCCAGCCCTCCTATTAGTAGTGAAGACAGTAGTGATGATGATGGTGCTATTGTTCAAAAATCTGTCCCTGTACCAACCAATCATGCAGACAGCAGCAGTAGTGAAGAAGAGTCAGCTGCTCCACAACAGTCCACAAGGAGAGCAGAAACTTCAAGTGATGAAAGTGACACTGAAGACAGGAAAGTTGCTGTGAGAGCACCAGCTAATGATTCATCTGATGAAGAAAGTGAAGACAATATAAGAAACCCTAATATTCCTCTTCAAGCACAAAATTCTTCTAGTGAAGAGAGTGACGAAGAACAAGAGCAGAAACCTGTGGTCAACAGAGGAAGTAGGGATGATAGTGATAGTGATTCTGACACTGGTTTTGTTAATCAAAATCAAACTTTAAATGCTACAAATTCTAAAGATATATCTTCTAGTGATGAAGACGATGAACCCACCTCAAAACCTCTATCTGCCCCTCAAAAACAAAATATCAACAATGATTCAAGTGAGGAGGAAACAAGTGAGGATGAGGAGCAAGATGTTAAACCTTCCTTGTCCACTGTGCAAAAATCTCACCAATCTCATCAAAATGATTCAAGTGAAGACGAATCAAGCGACCCTGAAGAAGAGCAAACCATTCAACCCAATACCCCTACAGTACAAAGTTCCCAACTGATCTCTCAAGATTCTAGTGAAAAAGGATCTAGTTCTGATAATGAAGATGACCAAGTTTTTACTTCTACTCAGAGAACTACAGAAGACAATAATACAATGGGAGATCTTGGTCAGTGGAAACCTCTGGCTCCTATTTTCTTACCTGGCACCCCCATAGCCAGAGCAGCTGAGAAAAGTCGACCTTCAAGCGGAAAACTTGGAACATCTTTGGTTAGTATTCACATTAATCGAATTTTGATTTTCTTCATCCATCAACATTTTTTAAAATTAGTATTTTGTTTTTGCAGCTTAAAGAAACTTTCCAAGGGACGGATCGGATGTATGTACAAGATGCCCCTCTCACCACAGAGGATTTAGGAAGCGATGATGAGGTTTGGTTACTTCAGTGTCCAAAATCGGTAAGACTTCACAAATTGTTTGTCATTGTCTACTATTCATGTAATTTTCTTATTTTAATTCTTTTTTTTTATTTTTTTTTATTTTTAGATGGATGTTAAAGCTCTAAAGAAGCAGCACATTAATCTGGCAGCTGATACTGAAATCCAATTAGAAGATGGCCCTACGTTTAGGAGATTTTCAATTTGTCCTGAGCAGAATAAGAAGAGTACAATTAACTGCGTACTTCCTATCCGTGAAGGAAACAAGTTTCAGATTTGTAAGTTTCACTAGCCTTTTCAATTAAGTGACTCTCACACTTTCCTACAACTACAATGTGTGTATCACCTTCAGTGATACACAACCACATTGTTCGTCATGATCTGATCAGATCATCATGCTTTAAAAATGGCATGGCACTGTACTTGTTAAATAATTGTCAAATGTTAAAATTTATTTTTTCTTAATTCCAGCTTTAATTCCTGTGAAAGGAAAGGTGGTTATTCAAGACCACATCCATGTACCTAAGTTACGCATGCCTGAAGCTATTGCAAAAGCTCCAGTCCCCTTCCCAACTGGACTGAAAGTGCGCCATCCTCTTCTTGGTATTGGTAGGTTTTCAAAAACATACTGTGTTTTATCTGTTCTGCATTATGCTGATAATTTTAAATTTTATTAATAGGTTTTGAAGAACATATTGCAAAAGCAAAGAGGGCTCTGAAAGAAAATGAGCGTAATAATAAGAAACAAAAGAAGATTAGTCGTAAAGAGGAGAAGAGAAGAATTAGTTCAGGAAATGGCTATAGTGAAGAGAGCATGCTAAGTCACTCCAATCAAAATATATCTACTCATTCACAGGCAAGAGATAAGAAAAAGCGTAAGGATACAAGCCTACAGAATACCAATGATGATGGAAGTGCTAAAAAGAAAAAGAAGAATACTTCATATTCAAGTGATACTGCCTATAGCTCTGAAGCAAAATCCATTGATGACAGTTTTCTACATGAAAACAAGAAGAAGAAACATAAAAAGTCTAGAAAAGATGAGCTAAATGGAGAAAGTCTCAGTGGAGAACTAAAGCAAGAAATCACAAGACCAACTTGGCATATTCCCCAAGCTGAAACACCAGTCAGTGCATCAAACAATGGCTCTTCATTTGAAGGAAAAAAGAAAAAGAAGTCAAAGAAAGATTTACTGTCACCGTCACAAGTTAAACAAGAAAGGGACGCATCAGAATATATGAATGGCATATCAGACACCTTCACTCATGAAACTTCATTTTCCAAGAAGAGGAAAAGGAAAGAAGCTGGAGAACCTGATATGTCTGATATACCAATAAAGAAAAAGAAGCACAGTATATAATATTTACATGGGGTCATGGGAGCTTTTAATTTACATTTGAAAATGTAAGCTGAGATTTATGAATTGTGTTTTGGACCTTGCCACACGAGCCCTGTCAAATACCTGGAAACTAAACTATTCTGCCAGGGATTTGAAACTAGAGCTTGCAGGTCTTTTGTTGTCATTGAAATCTATTGTGCCTTTCAGATGACTTTTTAATGTGATTCACTTGTAAACATATTTTTGATATGATGTGTTGTTCAGTTGCATTAAATGCAATGTGTTGATTACTTGTTCTCTTGTGCTTTCTGCGCCTCAGCAGCCACATGTCAATACCTCGATGAATTTTGCCATGTGCCAACCCGCCCCCAGCCCGTTAACGCAGAGCGAATTTAAGCGGTGCAAATTGCCAATGGGACGTGTCCCCTACGTGTGCAGTGCACGTCCGCTGGCACAGTGCTGTCTCTCTCTCACTCCAGCAGAGCAGCCGGGGAAGGCCGTCGCACGGCCGAGGCTGTTTTCGATCGCAGCCCTCTGCGCGGACCGTGGTGTGGTGGCCACGGCTATTGGGCGGCGAGCGATAGGCGCCTCGCGATGCCGGAACGGAGTGCGGCACTGCGGTATGGAAGGGGAAGGGGGGGG